TAAAGCGTACGTTACCTGCAACAACTCTCTAGTAACTATCGATAACGTGATAATAAATTTTATTTGCCTTTTAAACTGAACGCCGCGGCGTTTAATTATTTATTATTACGAACGGGTCGAGTTCCAATCAAGCATTAACAGTCAAGTCCATTCATTTTTATTTTAATAACGAAAAAAAAACTAGTTTGCCAACGATAAAAAACGGTATATGGTTTCATTTTCGACCGAAATCACGGCTGATTATACACAAGTGTATTTTGTGTGTCGCGTAAGAATATCGTAATACTTGTGCTCACCACCACAACCGTTCCCCAAGTTAATCATCGCGCACACCTCTCGAACGTTGTAATTCAAGAGTAGAGTCTGCTGTTTTTTTTCACCGTCTGTTCGCTGTTATGTCAATATATGTAAGTTCATCCGTTTAAACACAAGCCAACGTTTTGCGTGTCCTCGTATAATAACCCGGTGACGTATTATATTGGGCCCCTCGTCGAGATGTTTGCGCGCACTTAGGCTCACTTCCCGTGTCAAGAAAAAAAAAAAGGAGTTAATATTATAATGACTCGGACGAGAGGCCAAAATTCGGGAGGTCCAAGAGAAAAATAAAAATATACTAATAAAAAAAAACTGGCGTAAAAAAAAAAACGTGCGATAGGGTTCCTCACTTCAATAATAATACTTTGTCGAGTTACTGCCAGAAATTAATGATCACAAAATGTCCGGTTATCTCTGGCGGTTAGAGAGAGAGTTTGTGTAGGAAAACTTAAGGGAATCGTAGAGGAATTGGATAATACTGCATCCTGACTTGATGTTTTTTGACGACAACTGATTATCATTACTTATACGGGTTTTCGACACTGACACTGCTAAGAACTGTTATGTTAGCGTTCGACTACAATTGCACTGACGTCGTAGACGTGGGCGTTTATGACAAAAAAAATTGTTTTTTTTTTACAATGTACAGAGGATAATAATAACAAATACTGTGTTCGTGTACATTAATGGGATTTTGAAAACCTAACGAGAAATCATAAATCAACGTTTCGTCCGTTCGGTGGGACTTAAGGGCCGATAGTTTTAAGAAAACGACCCGTACAAGGGAGGAAAACCCTAGTTTGTACTACATGTATTTTAACAGCCAAAGAAACGTTTCACCAGAGTATTATCCTTCAGGGTCAGGTTTAATATGAGGATGCAGTCGCAGTATCTGCAGCAATAGCACTGGCACCGCCGCCATCGCAACTCTACCCTTAGGTCTGGCCGGCAAACGTCCTCTTTAACAACGGAGCAGCAGCTCAGGCCTCAGGGTCCTTGCACAACAACAACAACAACATCAAAGGTCATATATTATATAAACCGTCGGCATTATTTCAAACACATTCCGGAGGACCCAAATTAATAGATTCGGAGAAAAGCGACGGACGGCGGCGTCAGGCAGCACACTATCATTTTGCTCATGTGTTTCGTTTTCAGGAAATGACTAATACTTACACAATGCTAATATTATACCGACATAATTAGAAGTTATTGGCTAAAACTAAAAGTGTTATTAAATCACATTACAGTATGAAAATTCACATGAGTTAGTTAAATATTAATCGGTAGGAACATCACAGTCGAGAATACAGACATTGCAATACGCTCGCCACTCGTTAAAGTTATTTTTTTAGTCGGCCAATATAGCCCGAAGCAAAACTGGTATTCGGATTTAAACACAAATAAAACTACCTTGGCGACACACGCCATCTTAAATTCATTAACTCAAAAAACCGTACAAAGATCAAATTTCTTAAAATCAAAAAAGTTTATATTGGTAACACATCATATTTTACATAATTTCACTGTTTAAACAAGATTTTCCAAAAGCGTCGGTCACAATGAATTTTTTTTACCTCTATTCGAAACTGATTTAACTGCGTAGAAATAATAAAAAAAAAAAAACAACTGTAACAGTCATTCGCACAAATGAGACCGATTTAAAAAAAGATTTCTCAAAACTGTTTTTATTTTCTTTCAAAATAAAATCCTTCTTCATCAGGGTCATTACCTGAGGAAAGTATATTAAAATATAAGTGACGCACATACACCAAATGGCCGACAGACATCACAATGGACTGGAGAGTTTTTACGGTGGTCGTTATGAATGAAAGCAGCCGAAAATGCGATAAACATGCGATTTTTATGTGACATGTTTTCTTTTCGGGGTCTCCTTCGGTCGTCCATAAAGAATTCGCCCCTTGTACGCCGCCCAGCCATAAGAGGACTCTGACCGAACGAGATCCGGCCGTTTGTTGTTTTTACAGACTAACACAACACCACACTGCACGCGCGACCGGCTTAAAGGGAATCGGCACAGAAACATGAATGGAGTAGACCTCCACGAAAACCACCGATGCAAATACATAAAAACCCCGTCACCCCTTTAGATAGCAATTGAACCATCGAGAGAACGACGACACGTGGTGTTTGTAGTACATTCAAGCAGCATATATAACCTACCAGAATATATCAATGAATTTCCATCGGTTTCCCTAGAATGATTTATTCGGAAATGTATATGAATCGCATTTTCGCTACGACACGCGATAAGTAAAATTTTAATCAGTTTTGGATTATTACTTATATAGATTATATAGTTTCACTGCTGAACTGAACGAATAATATTTTTTTTTATTCTCGATTCACATACTTGCACTGGTCGGCGTTTAATAGAATATTAATGGTATCTTACAAAACGACCCATTTACTAATCGTTTGGGAGTAAATTGAACACTTAGCAAGTGTTGTTGGGCACGTAGTGACTTCCGAGTTACAAATCAATTTACAAGCTTCTCCGGTCTCTACTAGTCAAGGCGGCGTTATTTTTCGAGCATAGAAAAACAGTAATAATAATAATAATGACGACGGGCCTTTCAAACACAATAAGATGACGCCCCTCGCCACCAGTAACGACCTCCGCGGTCGTTACACAAAACCATAAGCGCCGCCGGTAAACAAAACAGAAAGCGCGCCAAGTGAGGATGATGTGTGAGAAAATAAAAAAATAAAGACTTGAACTACTGGAACGGACACAGAATGTATTGTGTAATGGGTACGTGCGCGGCGGCGGTGGCGTCAATCGATAACTGACAGGCCGAGTTGAACAAAAAACACAAAATATATGAATACATAAATTCAGTTGGACGGATGATTCGAGTTGTTGGACGGTACGAGTTTCCATACAATAAACTGTTTGCGGTAGTGTGAACTGGTGTAATTATTATTGTCCGTACAAGAACCGACATACCCTTCCAAATAAATTAAGAATAGTATAATAACCACAGAGTTGAGTTACATTCCTATTGTTTTGTGTTATCCCTCATTCGCCCACAGGGTTGGCATTGATCATTTGGCTGTGGAGACCACATAACAAGCGTTCAGAAGAAAAAAACACAACCCTACTTACATACAGTTCCTTTGTAAGGGGCTCGATTAAAATTAGACGATCGAAAATATCCCCGTTGTTCTCAAATAAAAATAATTATCTACAAACGCAAGACTTATTATTATATGATCCCGCAAAAATTTCCGGTCTGTAGAGAAGACACAGACCGGATGTCGTATCTCCACCAACTCGATCGTTTTTTCAACAACAAAAAATTACACTCTCGGTATTATTTGTTTAAACTTTTCTCGGTGCACTTTTTCTGTAGCCGCCAATATTATAATTTCTGCGACGGCCGTCAAGTGGAGGTACCACCAAACGCTGGATTTTTATCTATTGTGAGTTTACAGTATATTACATTAGTAAATTGTGTGTGTAATGTAGACGTGTGTATCGCCATACACAAAACAAATATATTTTTTTGAATGAAGGACATATCCACCACTACCACTAGCAATTGAAAATTATACACAAACTGAACGGAACGAGAAATATAAAGACGATGGTATTGATGGGAAAATTGACAACTAACATTACTACAGCTAACTATGTGGCCTCGATAATCCATTGCTTCTACAACAGCACAACTTCTCGATAAAGGAACTCTTGTTGTATGACAAATTATTTTTGTGTACGATTTTTTCTGCGTCTTTATTTCAAAATCCGCAAACTTAGTATTTAAAACTGACTAAATAATTAGAAAAACATTGAGATTGAACATGGTTTTTTCATGTCAAAGGGACTATTCAAATAATTTTCATGAAAAAATACATACACGTATGGTCGAATCGAAAACATAAATAAATCACTCAAAAAAACTGTGGCTTATGCAAATATTACTTTTTGAAGAGATAATCCATTTTTTTCCATCGGTCAATTATTAACACGAGATTTGTGTAAATGTCGGGAGTTAGGAACCCTTACAACGGTATTAATTTCTCAACAAAAGTGTTCACTACTTATAATGAGATCTTGTTTCGCTAGATTTTCACATGAAAGGGCGATGGTAACACGATTATTTCGCAGCCTTGTTTTTTTTTACTCGCATATAACAGTCAGAGAAAACAACAATAACCCGTCCAAAGATAATGGTAAACGTTTGCGTAATAATTCTGAACGCGATGAAAATTCAAAATTTTAACGAACTTATAAAATATGTGTCCAAGTACAAAAGAAAAAATTCATAAATACTAAAGAAACATAAAAAAAAAAACTACAAAGTGAGGTACGTGAGGTCGATAGTTACGTTTAAGTATTTAACAATATCAACGGAAACGGTTCACTACACTGAATACTAACGCCACAGTGTCCACACCAAACACTGTGTTATTTTTTTTTTTTTCGTCTCCAGTGTATGTTACGCACACTATTATCTACAGGCGAATTCTTTAGAGATGTCGACGAGTCGTGCGTTTCATAATTCATAAGTAATTTGTAATCGCACAATTAAAATATGTTATTAAAAATGGCAAACACTCAAAGACACGGGACGAACACCACGTGGTTTTATATTTAACCCGTTCAGGATTATGTAATTTTTTTACGCTGTGATATAATATAAAATAAAAAGGCTTACCAGTAGTTCTTCTGAGGTAATAGTGTTGTCCGTGTACAGGACCAGAAGGTCTACGGACAGGCAGTCGGACTCGCGGAGTTTAGAACTGACAAGCAGACAAGTAGTGCCCAACAATTGTAGGTGATTTTTTTTAATCGGATTCACAGACAGAAACCTGTCCATGTAGTTGATGGCCAGCGGAAAGACGTCCTCTTGACATTTCTGCTCTTCGCAGACCTAAAAGCGAAAAATATTATTGAGATTAAAAACACGTCATCTACATAAAAAAAACTGCCATTTGTTATTTATGCTTCTGCGTTTTTAAAAACCTATGGAGATGGTTGCGATAATATAGACGTCTATAATAAAGAGCTGCTGCTACGAATATTATCATCTATCGTTTCCTGCAACGCGCTGATTTATTGGACGTGTCTCGTTAACCCGTTCGACGAACCGGAAAAACTCAACTGATTAATAGCACCGAACGCATTCATCATTACAATAGTAGCAATATTATTATTGTTATATACATTTACCTTAGTTAAAATTTAGGTATACAATGTAGCAGCGGTATCGCACTGCTACGTAGTAGTAATTTCCAGTGAGAAAAAATAGTCTATTTGCGTTACGCACACACCACACCCCAAACGACGACACAAACAATATTATTAGTTATTTATATTATGTGTCTGGCTAGTGTATGTGTGCCCGAGAGCAAACAAAAAGTAGCGTAAAAAACCGGTCATTTAGTTTCCTAAAATATTATAATCAAGGCGGCCGACTTGCTAAAATGACGACGATCGCCGCTATTAGAGCACACGCTTAAAATTGGATCATAAACAATAACTTAATGAATTTTTATTCGTACGAACGAGACATGTTCGCACCCCGAGGGCGATCATTATAAATAATAATACCGCCGCCGCCGTTCACAGAAATTCCAGTAGACTGAAAAAAAATAAATAAAATCCCATCTCTTTCACAGATAACGTCGTTTTTTGGCTCTCTTACGTGCCGCAACGCGCCAGGGGTAAACAACAATCTAAAAAAAGAATGACTGCAACGAACTCAAGATGTAAGGGTGGAGGGTTGTCGTTGCTGCTGCAGCGTGCATGATATTTATGCGTATAAAAATTAATGGGGTAAATAAAAAAAAAAATCATTTTTACGGCGTCTATGGGAACAACGACGCACACGTTTATTATCAGGAGGACGACGAAGGGGTGATAATATTTTGGTGCGTACACCGAAAACTGTTTCCGGACCGATTCTTTAGAGGACTGCAATGACGACGTTTCATCTCTGGAAGGCATTCCGTGGAAGTTACACGCCAGTGTATATTCAACATCATAACTATTATAAATTCCACGCGATATCATATCAAACGCCACCATAACGCCAGTGGGCGGCGCGCGGCAGGTTTACTTTGGACACCCACTTGTTAATCACAGGGCTAATTACAACACCAACGGATATTGTTATTATTTATTATAATTGAACGTGCAGTGCAAATGCAGCAAGAATGACCGGGTTAGGGTGGCGACCGTGTGATAACACCCTCTTTCGCTGCCCAAAGGAATGTGTGCCTCCGGGCGGCGGCGTCTTCATTTATGTGTATTTTATCCGACTTCCAATCTCCGTCAGGGGAAAACACATTATTCCTACCCGGTCAATTATCCTCTTTTCGCTCTCCCCGACCGCACGGAGGGACTCGAACGACCGCGACGTCGGGTCTCGAGGTGAGAGATTTTATTGCGAGATTGATGCGAGCGCCTACTTTCCCTGGTGCCCACGAGGAGTGTGTATAAACAGGCGGCGGCGTTTGCCCTGCCGGAGTCGGGAGGTTGTGGGTGGAGCCACCGGGTTGTTGAGAGTTGCACCAGAGAAATACAAGACGACCGTAGGGACTTGCCGACAATAGATCGGGAAGACGTTGGAATGTTGTTAAACCCGAAACGCCGTCGAACACGAACCTCGTACACAAATAAACGTGTACAATATAATTCAACGACGGGGTCGTCGTAGTTATTATTTTTGTTTTTACGGCAAAGTTTCCTCTGTGAAACCACTTGAGTTAAAACGGACAACTGGAATCTAAATAAGTGATCACTTGAAATAGTCAAAAAATTTTTACAACATATTGGCCCAGTGCCCTTGAGGAGAACACGCATGAAAAATCATTCATTTACAAGTATGTTGATCGCAGTCGAATGGTAACTTGTAATAATTTATGCAATTCTTCCTGAAATGTAAAATAATAATATGCAAAACTAGTCGATAATAAAACACGACCGGTTCGGGTGGCACAAAGCGTTGACATAAAAAAAAAAAAAAAAAAAAAATAAAAAACAACAGTTTTTTAATGATCGGCGTATCACTTTAATAGGCATCTCTGATAATACAGATTTAAATATGTAAATAAGAGATCTTTAATTAAGAGGAGGGGTACCAAACGCGGCTGTCGCTCTGGTTTTTATGCGGCCCGTAAAAGACAAGTTAGAGATATTCCCACGATAACTCCAACCCACGTGAGGCCTCGTCTAAAACAAATTTTTACCCAGTTTGCGAAAAAAAAAATTGCAAATACGACACTGGTCTAGATGTAGTCGTAGAAAGGCAAGCGCTTTACTCGGTAGAAAATGAACTGAGACAAAACGAGGATATTATATCGTGAAATAATATTCAGAATATCTCAAATACATAATTTTAACATGTTTTAAGGGCAACGTTTTATTTATCAAAAACCTTGAAGATAAATTGCTAAAATTAAAATCATAATAGCCGATTGTAATTTAATAAAAGAATTCCGAAACAAGTGTTCAGAGTCAAATCGATTAATAATAAAAATATGTTAAGTTTCCTACATGACAGTGGTAAGTCCTCGTTACTTGAAAACACAAACAACTAATTTGAAAAAATTAGCAGCAATATTTCACAACGCGATAGACTTCTCATTTCGAAACAAATAAATCGCGGCGCTGTGGCCTAACAATGAGAGTAAACAGCGATGGACAACAACTGGAAACTGGTAAAACAAAAAACAACCATACCCGTTTCCTGTCTGGAATCTCTTGGTCATTATGCGCAACGGACCCAGTCCATTACGACGTGTGATGTATGAATAGGTATTATTAATACACGGCGGGTTGCGTGCAAACACTGCTGAACCTGTGGCCGGTCGGCTACGTGGCCCGAGGGACAAACGCAAATCGTATTTCATAACGTAAGCAGTAAGTAAATCAACAGACTAAACGGCCGTTCAATGTGATATTTAATTAGCGCTAGTGGATCGAAAAATTTACTAGAACCAATTGCGATATTTTCTCGAATAAAATAACTACGTGACGTTTTTTGATCGATGTGACTGACAAGTGGAACAGATAAGATAGCGCATGGCGCCGCCGTCGTCGTTGGTCTTTGTGCGCTACGCATTCCTTGACGACAAAATTAGGAGCCATTCAAAAAGTAGATCTCACGAAAACAGTCGACGGCACACAACGACGACAATGGGCTACGGACAGTAATTTCTCTGGGGAACGCACAAAAATGCGTCGGCACAATATTTGCCCGAGAAAAAAACTTTCTTAACAAAAAAAACGACGTAATCTCATTAAGGCTGTTTTTGCTATTCCAACAGCGGCGGCGTTATTAGCAATAATGCGCGGGTCTACAATGTTTATTAATTAATTTTCGGTTTGTTTACAATGAAAGTTATGCGCGCCGGTACTACTTGTATTGGTGGCCGGCCAGACAACAGTGCAGCAAGTTCCAACGTCGAAAAAACAATTAACGCGCAAAAATGATCAGACCATAATGTAAATACTCGTTTTGTAATGGTCAAACTATACAGTAGACCTCGTCGCCGGACAGAGTGCCGACACTGTGCACGCAACCCTTCAACATACAGACGCGTTATTTATGTCTTTTGCACGACTTAAAATTGCACTCGCGGTTCTAACTGACAACGTTTTACACGAATGCAGCTAGACGAGTTCCTTTTGCTTAGATTAATTATGATAAACGGATCGAAAAAGATGTACAACAAATAGACCGAGTAGGCGACGGCGGCAAAACTGCTTATGGATTTCGGCCGTCCCTCTAATTATTCATCGTTACTGGCCGCACTACAATTAGTATACACGCGGAGACGGAATAATTGTAACGTGTGTCTACTCGTTACACACTAATATTATGTATTTATTTTCAACCTGTCCCTCCGTCTAGTGCATACAATTTGCCCGCTGACGTTTCCAACGGTTCATTACATACATCGAAATGATAAGACAAAAATTCAAATGGAATAATCTCACACGCTAAACTTGTTCGTTTCGCGATAAAAACATTTTAGTTTCTTTATTTTACAAAAAAAAAAAACGTTTAATTAAAAACCGTTTATCGTTGAAGAAATAATTTATGTCGGAATTCCTTAACATGCAACACTCACAAGAGCACAAAATTCGATAGTATTTTTTAATTTTAATAGTACTGTTCCGAGATAAAACTCATTTCGGAAATTTTGAGATGGACTTCAGAGTCATTAATAACAAATTAATTAAAACAATATACGTTAGTGATTATATTATTTAGAACTTCACTTATTACGAGCGGACTTACGACAAAAACGTTTTTAACAATCAAAAATTGGCTAAAAAAATTATGTATTACAACTATAAAATGTATTAACAAACAAGTTGAATGTGTTGTCGCTGTTAATCGCACTTGGGTTTATTACGTTAATTTTAACCTTTCCAAGGTCTGCTAGCTATTGCTAAGGTTGATGTACTAAAGATTAGAATAATATGAAAATTAGTCACTATTCATTCTACTTATAAAAAGTACACGCTGTGCAAATTGCGCGTATGTTAATCGCAGTTAATTACCGAATACAAGTTTAAAAAGTTTACACACAACCCAACAGTTATACAAAATTGATTTTGACAAACATATATTATGCTTCAAGTGTTAATTGGTTTAGCGAGTGATCCGTTACAATAATACATATAAAATCTCTTATATAACGAATTTAACAAACTGTCAGATGTTTATATTCAATGCAACCGAAAAGTAATTTTAAGACGAAAAAAATATGATAACAGAAATATTGAAATTAATGATTAAGAAAAAAATTTAATGTTTCAGAAACTCTCTCTCAAAAAAAAAATTGACATACGCGAATCTGTTACAGGTTGTGCATTACTTTTTTAGTTTACAACACTACAGCAGTAAGTCATGTGATA